AAAAAAAAGGGAAACTCAAACTCCACAATCCCTTGAATCTCATTGGTCAATTCATGGGAGCCATGAATTAGATAGCGAGACATTTCTTAGTTCTCGGCAATTTCTCGGGATTTTCGGTGACACTGTGTGTGCGCGCATTTGTTTGCATTGGTGTGTACGTTGAATCCAATGCTATAAGAGATTACTCTGGAAGTTTTCCTTGAACTCTCTGAAAAAAGCTTAAAACCAGTCCGTCGGTACGTCCGTTAAAACTTAAAAGTTAAAACTGGGATGATCCTGGTTCTGCTGAGCAAAACTTGGGTAGCTTAGTCTTTGGCATGATGGTTGAGATCTGGGGACAGTGGGGATGTGCTTTTCGTACCGACGGACTGGTTTTGAGTTTTTTCAGAGAGTTCAAGGAACATTCAGAGTAATCTCTTAAGCATCGGATTCAACGTACACGCCAACACAAACAAATGCACACACACAGTAGCTAAACTGGGGGCTGTCCCCATGACAACGCTGGGTGGAGCTGGGTTGGGTCGCGCTGCCCTGTAACTTAGCATCATGGGTCCGGGTGTGAGACCTGGTGGAGGCCTGGTTTTGCGAACATGACAGCTTGGTTGGCTTCGGTTTGGTACGTTGAGCATCACTTGGAATCTTTGGTATTCGGTATTTTACTTTTCCTTTGTTTTTCAGTAGTTGTTCCATTAATTTCTGTTATTTCTCTGCAGAAGCCAGGTAATGACCCCGGTATCTTTTTTTTTTTTTTTTTTTTTTTCCTATCTTTTTTTTTTTTTTTTTTTTTTTTTTTTTGTGTGTGTGTGGTCTGATGGACCACGGATCAGATATTAAACTGATCAGAACAGATACTACACTTGATCTTAGCCAAAAGGCCGAGAAAGGTATGACCCCGGTATCTCAAACTGTTCTGTATAATAAATTTCATATGGCACGCTGGACCCGGTTCCCAGCATGTGATGCTCCCCACAATTTTTTTTTTTGGTTAGTCATCCTTGCGCAGGGGCCATGCTAATCTTCTCTGCATCGAGCGCTGTTCAAAAAAAAAAAAAGGAAACAAGCATGGCCCCTGTGCAAGGCTGACCCACTTAAATTGAGAAAAGGACCAACTGGTCCATTTTTTTTATTTTTTTTTAAGTAAAAAAGAAACAGGATTCATATGAAGCACATGCCAGCGATCCTGAGAGAGGGCAGAGGCCAGACGGCACCTGCTTGCCGTTCAGGAGCATAGTAGTTTGCCCACCAGGTATGCACTGCTTTTTCCCAAAAGGAATGAATGAGAATATGCTGAAACCAATCCTGAATGTCAACAACTACAGGCCACTGCTTGGAAACACTACGCTGCCCTACCTTTTTTTTTTTTTTTTTTGGGTCTACCTGACTTTGAAATTTTTCCTTTTTTTTTTTTTTTTTCTTTCCCTAAAGGCTAAAACAAAACAGGTCCTTATGGCCCTGGCTCCATATGACTTTTTTAAAGTTTTTTTTCTTCCCCTCCCCCCCCCCCCCCGCCCCTAAAACACCCAGTCCCTTCTATTCTGGGGGGCATCAGTCTGGTTGCTTATCACCGGCAAGCGCTCCATATGACTTTGAAGGATTCCTTTTTTTTCTTCTTTTTCTTTTTTTCCCCCCAATGTTTTGACCTCTAAGGATTCTAAAAGAACCAGAACCATACAATGCCAAGTTCTCTTTAAATTTTAAAGTTTAAAGTTTAAACTTTAATAAAAGTTTAATAAAGTTAAAAACTTTAAACGAACACTACCTTTCCCAGGCAACACTGAGAATTGAAAATGTAACATTCCGGGTTCTTTGGGTGAACAGTGCTACCGGACCCCTGGCGGCTGTCGGCGCAAGCCAAAAGAAGTAAGAAAAGGCGGCGCTAGCGCTTCGGCAAAGCTTTGCGCACAGATCTTTTCTGCCTCGTCAAAAAGGTAGAGGGTCTGAGGTAGTGGTTGTTTAAGGTAGCGAGAATGCTGACCTGGCAGGAATTTATGCAGCAGAATAACAAGAGTCCATGTGCCGGCAGACGCCCCACAGAGCCTCCTTGTCGATAACCCGGCTTCGTTTACGTGTGTCATATACTGCCAAGATAGCACACCTGTGTGCAGGAACACAGGGCCTTTGCGACAAACCGAGAAATTGACGTACCTCAGTTGTGAGTCAAACTGCCAACACAACACAGTCATTGTGGGCAATGTGCCTTGGTTGTCTCTCCCACATGCTCGCAAGATGACACGCCTACAGCAGAACGTGTGTCATACTGCCAAGATAGCGCACCTGCGTGCAGAAACACAGGGCCTTTGCGACAACCGAGAAATTGACGTACCTCAGTTGCGCGTCAAACGAACAACATAACACAGTCATTGTGGGAAATCTGAGAGCCCTGGATATCTCCTGCATGACACACCTACCTGCAGAAAACATGCCGAGCTGTCGGCAGGCTGAGGCTTCAGGACAAACTGATAAATTGATGACGCTCCGTTGTGTGCCAAACAACCACGTTAACACACCCGTCCACAGGAAGACAGCACGCTGTCGGCAATCTGAGAGATTTACACGCTTTGGTTATTTCCCAATTACTCCCAAGACGACACTCCTGTCTGGAGAAACACCTACCCCATTGTCGGCAAGCTGAGCCTTCGCTCAAGACAGTGAAATCGATGCGTCCCAGTTGTGTACCAAACTGCCACAAGACAACACAGCGCAGCGCCTGTAGGCAATCCAATAGATTTGGATGATTTGGTTGTCTCCCCCGTGAACCCCAGATGACACATACCGCGACGTCGGCAAGCTGAGCCTTTGCAACAAACCGAGAAAAAACGATGCGCCTCAGTTGTGTGTCAAACTGCCAAGATGACAACACACCTGCCCAGAGGACACACAGCGCATTGTCGGCAATCTTCTTTTTTTTTCTTTTTTTTTTCCCCCCGGCAATCTTAGAGATTGATTTCCTTTGATTGTCTCCCGCATACTCAGAAGATGGCCCACCTCCTGCCTGCACAAACACATATCGTGTTGTCCGCAAGCCGAGAGATGGATGCGCTTTGGATGCTTGTGTCACGCTGCCAAGAAAGCCGTGATCCTTGAGAGCCGAGATAGATCCTTTGGATGAACGCCTTCCAGTTACCGCCATGTTTAGCCATTGCGAGACCAATCTGCTGTTTTTCAATTTATGTGGGTCATCCTTCCACGCGCAGGGGCCACGATAATCTTCTATGTGTCGTTCCAATTTGAACGGATGTCCCGAAGGATCAATCTGCTGTTTGCACAGCCAACCCCATGAGGAGGAGCTGATGACAATGGTCCCATTGAATGCCCCCCCTAAGCTCCAGATGGGTCGGCGGAATGTCGCATTTCTATCAAGATCCTAGCTGCTGTTGTCCTTAAGTCGTGAAAGTTGACGTCCGGATGTGATCCCCTGCACATAACAAAATTAGGCACACGGACATCACCATCCCAGAGCATAAATAAAATCCACAAGGGGACTAGCAAACGTCTTCCTGTCTCTTATACACATCTAGATGTGTATAAGAGACAGGTGTGTGTGTGTGTGTGTGTGTGTGTGTGTGTGTTGCTGTGTGTGCAAGTCCACATAGTACGGCCCAACCCACATGGTACCACCTGGTCCACCGTNCGGATGTGATCCCCTGCACATAACAAAATTAGGCACACGGACATCACCATCCCAGAGCATAAATAAAATCCACAAGGGGACTAGCAAACGTCTTCTTTGTTGTGTTACTTCCCGACTGCGCAGCAGAACGAAACCTGATTGCAAAAAAAAAAAAAAAAAAAAAAAAAAAAAAAAAAAAAAAACTGATTGCCACTTTTCAGGATAGGAGCCAAGACCTTTCATCTGTGTTTTTTCCTGTGGCTATGGCTATGGCTATGGCTATGGAGAGCCATAGCCATAGGTGTGTTATGCCTCTGGCTATGGCTATGGTTGTGGCTATGGCTATGGTTGTGGCTATGGCTATGGAGAGCCATAGCCAGAGGCATGACACACCTAGATTTCAAGATAGGAAATAAGAAACACGTGGAAAACTCATTCACATTCCCAAGTTTTTCCTTTTTCTTTCAATTTAAAAAAGGGCACTCATGATACACTGCTTAATACGCTGTAGAGAGGCGATGGAGTACTCGGCTAGGGCATCAGGGCATCAGACCTTTGGGAGTCCCTTTTCACCATACCCTTCCCCGAACACCCCATCCAACTCCTAATGGACTGACATCCCGACCCACGTCCGGAAGACAGAGAGAATCTGGTTTGGTATGATAAGAAAAGTGATATTTTGGTCGATAGGAAAGGAAAGGTGTGCTGCAAAACTGTTCTCCTCTCCAAGAGAAAGTGTGTGGGTGGCGACAAGGTTGTTGATTCAGGCCGAGATTCTATGTGAATGACGCAGAAAACAAGGCATTCGATGCCGAACGACGGGGGCCTGCAGCATAAAATCCAAGCGAGTTTTGCTGGTGGGAGGCAAGGTAGCGGACATAAGGGGCTCTAGTATACGCCGTAACGCTTCGTACAATTCTGCCGCCAGGCCTTAGAAGACAGAGGTCCCAAGCAACAGATGGGGAGGACCTAATGCAGGCCACATAAACCCGAAGGCACGACAGAGTCGCGGACACCGGCAAAGAAGCAGTCAACAACTCACCAGACCGGAGTCCAGCGCGACGTCCCCTACAAGTTCAAGGTCTTGGCATCCACATCTCTCAATCCTGAGTGGACGAGGCAGAAGGGCGATGCTGGCTTGCGATTCGCAAGGCAGGTATTTCATGTTTAGCACATTATGTCCTCCGCAAGAGTAAAGCCTCACATTTTGTGCTACATTGTGTATGAACGACCTTTCCTGGTTTCGCATTATATCTGGCAAGAACTCGTAGGGGACTAGGAGCTGTGTTTTTTTTTTTTTTTTAAAGGAAAACAAAGGGCACTCGCAGCACACCTAAAAGAACAAACTTGAGCAGAAAGGTAGAGGGAAGGCAAGCTGACAGTTAATCCTCCAGGCATCTGAAGCAATCAATGCTGTTCAGGGGTCCTTCGGCCAAACGGAAGGAAGTGTGAGGGTGTCGTTATTGTACTTCTGACTTGCCGGTGGAATAGGAGATGGACTGATGCTCCCCGGATATGAACTTATTATGAAGGCAGGGCCATAAGGACCTGGGCTACCAGCCGGGTGGCCCGGGTTACACCTTGTTTGACCGGGCAGCAGCGAAGGGCCCAGCAAAAAAAAAAACATGAAAAGAAATAAACTGAAAAATAACTATGTGATGCACAAAAATAAACTAAACTTTTGCCTCAGGGTCGCATCGAAATCCTTTACCAAATTTGAGAACAAAATAAAATAAAAATAATACCTGTTCTTTTTTTTTGTGTTTGTTTTTGGCCCGGCCGCGCAACTTGCCTCGGGCCACTCTGGTAGCCTAGATAAGGACCTGTTTTTTTTTTTTTTTTTAATATAAAAAAGGGTACTCGCAGCAGCCCTTACAAAAAATATTGTTGCGTCTACAGGATCTCAACCCATCAGTCACAGGTCACAATTGACATGCGCATGAGGGAGGCATGGGTTGGACCAACAGTGGTCATGTATCATTCTGTAGTGACAACAGGTGGCTGCTCACATTTGACATTGGATAATGATCTCTGCAGCCAACAAATTTCTGACAGCCTCTGGGACTGCAAAATGCCTCCAACCAGAGGCCCGCGAACACCATGGCTCGGGAACACCAAAATGCCCCCAACCAGAGGCTCGCAAACACCATGGCTCGGGAACAACAGGGCTTGACAAACAATAGGTTTGGCAAATAGGTGGTTCGGCAAATGGGTTCTGGGACAGCAATAGTTCAATACTGTTGTGTTAAACCACCAGTACTTGTTGGCCCAGCTATGAAGTCTGAGCCTCAGACTACCGGTATGCCGACCCGTGCCGAGGCTGGAGCTACCGGGAGTACAGTTCCCCAAACCAGTTTTACAAGAAAAGAAAAAAGAAAGAAAGAGAAATACCACCACCTACGAGGAGGAAGAGCAGCAGCAGCAGTAGTATTCCAAATGCAATACCAAGGGCAATGAGGAGAAAAGCAGCAGCAGCAGCAGCAGCAGCAGAAGGAGAAAAAGTTGAAGATGTGCACCCATCTTTTTCTTCTTGATTCAAGAAAACTGTGGATTTATCGAAATTGCTACAACTTCTTACAAACCTAGGCTACCAGTCGGGCCACCCGGGTGACCTTGTTTGCCCGAGCGGCCTGGCCATGCAAGGACCAAAGAAGGTCCCGGCACGAAAAATAAAAATAAAAATAAAAATAAATCTGAAATAAAAACAATGTTATGCAGAAAAATAAACTGAACAACTTTTTTTTTTTTTTTAAATTCCTTAAGCCCAACCAATTCAATTACCTGTCCAATCCAGACAGGATGGCCTTTCTGGCCTGTTTTTATTGTCATTATCGTATCACGGGGAACCCCGCAGCAGCCACACCCGTGCTCAAGCTCAAGCCTCCAACGGGGGAGCATCAATTCAAAAAATCTGGAAAAAAAAAAATGTTACGCAGAAAAATAAATTGGATTCGACAATTATCGAACTGGTTGGGCTGCAAGGAATTAGCCTTTAAAGTGAACAACTTTCTTTGGAACCATTGTCTCTTATCTCGATATCGGAAATGAATTGAAAGAACAGATCCGCCAGGGTTATGAGAGTGATCCTATTTCGAGTCCTATCATTGAAACTCTACGAAAGGACCCTGAGTTATTTTTGGAATATCGAATGACTGATGGCTTACTCTTCTTGCTGGATAAAACCGAAGAACGATTGTGTATTCCTCACCTAGAACCAATCAAGAGTTTAATCATTGGGGAATGTCATGATGTGATGTGCGTGAGCGTTTTGAGTGGAAAGGACTGAAGGAAGATGTACTAACGTATGTGCGAACTTGTAGTGTCTGTTTAAGGAACAAGCCCTCACATGAGAATTCGATGGGACTATTGCAATCGCTGCCTATTCCAAGTGAGTTAGGTAAGTCTATCTCTGAGCCTCACTAAGAGTCGAAACGGCAACAGTCGGGTAATGGTCATTGTCGATAAATTCTCTAAGTATGCTATGTTCATTCCTTTGCCTGCTGAAGCTAGAACCGAACTAATCATTCAAAAGTTTCAAATGCGATGGGCCTCTGAGTATAGATTTCACAAAACCATCGTATCAGATAGAGATGTTCGGTTCACCAGTCTACAATGGTAAAAGTTGATGGAAGTCTATGGAACTAGGTTGACCATGTCGTCAGGTAGAC